GGAGAATCACTGACAGCCCCGGGCAAAAAGCATGAAACCCCATCTGAAAAATAACAAACAAACCAGAAGAAGGAGAAGGAGGAAAGGAGTTTGAGAAAAGAGGCTAAAACCTAAACTAGCTCAAGGATTGTGGCCATAAATTTAATGTGTAGCCAATCAACCAACTCTGAAATTTTCTCCCAGCCACTCTTAGTTGCTCCAGCCCTAGCACAGAGGAGGCCTGGGGCTGGGTCCATCCGAGGCTGTGCCTTTATGAGAGGAAGGAAATTGAGGGAATTAAGAAATGAAAGGTGGTGAAACCTAAGCTTGCTGAGAAGGGAATTAAGAACTGGAGGGAGGCAGGGAGGCTCGTGAAAGACTAGCAAAGAATTTTATCCATCCATTGCATTTACTCATTCAGTCAACAACAACACTCCTACTGTGGACCAGGCCCCTTCTAGACCCTGGGGACTAGCCTGGCCAAGTCCTCTCACAGATTAAGCTGACATGAACAATAAAGGATTAAAACCAGTAAGCTTGATTTAAAGTCAGATATTAAAAGGGATATGGAGAAATAAGAGGGGGGAGGGGCTGGAAAGTGGTGAGTGGTGATCAGTGTGACCCAGCAAGATGGATGATGAGGGGGCAGCTGCTGGGCTGAGGAACGGTGAGTGCTGTTCTGGTTTTTAATGACCTGAGGTTGAACAGTGAGGCCACAGAGCAGCGGTAAACAGGCATTTGGAAGTGGTGTTTTCCTGGTGCTGTGACCCAGCTGATGGGAGCCGGTGTAGTTGCTGGAGTGGTTGTTGTAGAGCGAGCAGTGATTGCAGTCACAAGTGTCAGCCAGGGCACACTCAGCTTGTCACTCTCTTCTCCAGTGACCAGCTTTGGAATGCCACCTAGAATAGGAATTGGTTAATATGTGTTGAGTGAATTTTTTCACTCAACAAATACAGTTCAACACTTAAAAATACATCAGAACACAAACCCAGGTCTCTGCACTTTGCGATCTGAGTGTGGGAACTCGCTTTAAGTGAGTTTGTTTAAAAAAAAAAAAACTGACATAAAATTCATGCACATAAAATTCACCTTGAAAAGTGTACAATTCATGGGGTTTTAATATGTTCACAAAGTTGTGCAACCATCACCATGACCCAGTTCCAGAACATTCCAGAAACATCATTCAGACCTGACCCATTAGCAGTGCTTCTGCTAGTCAGTCCCCTTCCTCCTGGCTGCTTGCTACTCTGCTTTCTGTCATTCTGTATTTCCCCACTCTGGACATTTCACATAAGTCGCCTCATAATATGTGTCCTTTTGTGTCTGGTTTCTTTCACTTAGCATAATATTTTCCAGGTTAGTCCATGTGACAGCAGGTGCCAGTCCCTCATCCCCTTTCAGAACTAAAGGATAGTCCATTGTGTTGACTGTACTGTTTGATTTGCCCATTCGTCAGTCAGTCAGTGGACATTTGGGTTGTAGCCACTTTTAGGCTTGCATGAATAACACCTGCTACTATGAGCCTTTGGGTGTGGGATTTTGTGTGCACCTAGGTTCTCCAACTCTCTTAAATAAATACCTAAGGGGTGGATGACTTTTTAAAGATCTGATTTTAAAGGTCTGTATCTTAGGACTGTTTCACACTTTATGATATGTTTTAAAAGAATGTGTTGAGATATTAGCAATTAAGCTACTAGTTGAATTATTTGACTTTTCTCCAGAAATAAGAATAGCAGTGACTTTTCAGGATGGCCAGTGGCCCCCTGTGTCCTGTACCCCTGGAGCCGGCTGACTCACTGCTTGCTGCATGGTGGGACATGACAAGGGAGGACCTTGGTAGTGGAATTCCGATTGCCTTTTGTTTTTGTCAAGAAATCCTGCTTCTTTCTGGAAGAATCATCACATCTTGAAATCTGGAGCCACACAGGATTCTGGGAGCGAATGTAATCCGGTCCCTTTATGTTAAAGGTGCCTGAGCTACGGGAGGTCCCAGGATTAAATGGTTGTACAAGTGCCTACAGCTGCTTAGTTGGAGAACAAGAAAAAAAGTCACATCTCCGTCTCCTAACTCCTGGTTCAGACTAGGTCTCCCAAACTTCAATTTACTTCTGCTGTCTGAATTTAAAATCACAAAACAAAACATAAACAACCCATATAGGTGATGTTTCCAGATAAAAGCTTAGAGAAAAATAGTTTCAGAGTCTTACCGGGAGAAGTTGACTGTCAGCCCTGTACTCATTAATTCACAGGGACAGGGAGGGAAAAGATTAATAAAGAAATGCCATCATTTCTAGTTTGTGCCTAAGGAGAAAGAAATTACAGGCATTTGTAAATACTGAGAGCCATCAGAAAATTTAGCTACGTCTTAGGGGTCAGTCTTGTTTCTTCTGATCACATTCTAGTAATTACATCGGAGTTTTAAAAAGCGGTACAAGGATTAAGCATAATTATTCTATCCAGAGGTAATCAAATTATGCAGTGGGCTGCACAATTAATCAGTTGCCTGTCCCAAATGTCACACTGGCATTATTTATTCTCTTCCAAGTGAGTCAGAAGTGGAATGGGCTCATTCCCTATTTCCAGTAAGCGACTTACACCAGCAGGTGTTAGAGTGGCAGGAATGGGTGGGGCTGGCATGTCCACTTATTTGGGGATGTCAGCAGTGAGCCCTGGGGTCCATGCACAGGGCTGTACGTGAAGGCCATGGGCACTGAGAGAGTTGGCAGCACTTCCAGCTGAGAAGAGAGTTCTGATCCCTGTGTGTCTGGGAATGTCCTTCCCTAGCACAAACATAAGAACAGGTGTTGGGTACAGCTCTGTGCCACCTCTCTCTGTGTGACTGTGAGCGCATCACCTCAGGATCAAAGTCTCTCGTCTCTAAAATTAGAGGGGTGACTTTCAAAAGCCATCCTGGCTTTCAAGTGCTACGGCTTAGTGGCTTAAGTGGTTGGAGACTGAAGGTGGAGCATAAAGTAATAAGAACTGGAGCTGACAGTTACACAGAGCCACCTTTGAGTCATGTGTCACAAAATTACTGCAATTTACCTAACTTTGTCAGCCTTTGTCGTGTGATCCTCTAAGGGGTGTGATGAGGTGGCACCTGCCTCATAGGGCTGTTGGGGGATGATTGTGAAGCAGACTTTTTAATCCCAGTGCCTAATCATCATAAGATTCAGTATTTATTAGTAACAAGTAGTATTGTTATTTTCTTTAGGGACTTTGGAGGGGACTGGGATTTGAACTCAGGGCCTTGCACTAGCTAGGCAGGTGCTCTACCACTTCAGCCACTCCACCAGCCCTTTTTATATTGGCTACTTTTGATATAGGGTCTTGCTTTAGGCTTAGGCCAGCCTGTACCACAATCCTGTTTGATCCCTCATGTAGCTAGGATAACAGGCACTTGTCACCACACCCAGCCATTGGTTGAGATGGAGTCTCACAAACTTTTTGCTTGGACTGGCTTCGAGCTGCCATCCTCCTGATCTCAGCCTTCCAAGTAGCTGGGTTTATAGGCATGAGTCACCACACCAGCATCTTTAGGAACATTTAATCCTAATAATGTCTTGTCACCTTTAGAAGTAAATTAATATAATAACCGACCAAGGTTAGTATTGTGAAGTAGATATACAAAAGTTTTGTTTAAAAGATTATAATTAATTAACCCTAAAGTAACTCGGCAGGGGGGAAGCCTTCAATTTAGATTATTGGATTTTAGGGCGAAAATTGCATACAGAGGAAGTGCAAGTAATCGGACTTGATTTCTCCTTAGCCTACTGTTGAATGTATATTCCTTTTATTTTTTCTGCCTTAATTCATTTGTGGAAAACTCTCAGGGCATGGTTGTTCAGAAGCAAGGCCATAATTATTGAAAATACAAAACATCATTTTCACTCCTGCTGATCATATAGAATCAATAGAAGATCTGCCCAGCTCCAGCTGAGCTGCCTGCTTGTCACGTTTCCCATTGTTTTTATAGATATTGTTTTGGTATGAAACAACTTTAGAAGTTTAATAATTTTGGAAACAAATACCTGTCCCTTTTACCTCAGTTAGGATATTAATACAGTTCACTATCACTCTTTAATACTGCTTTGCTAAATTATCTGAAAGAGTTTACTTCAGATCAAGTGTGTCAAGAGTCGCATGGGGGAAGGTGACAATGCTTAGCTTGGTTGGTTGATGACTTCGAGAACTAACTCTTCACTTCTGAGCAGAGAGGTGAGCTATCTGCAATGGAAGTCTATGTGATAAGTTGGTGACAGGGTAGCGTGAGACTTTCAATCATCATCTCTGAACAAGTAGGTCCCATATGTTCCAAACTGTTTCCGTCACCATTTTGCCTTACTTTGCTATTGCATGTAAGAAATAAAACAGGAAAAGTTTTGCCTTCTCAGGATGTGACTTCTGATGCGAACAACTCAACCCAGAAATGCTGTGTGTTCCCTTAAAATTGTTTTTGAGGGCTAGACACTGCAGTTCACACCTATAATCCAGCTACTTAGGAGGGGAAAATAAGTTGGATCACAGTTCAACCCAAGGTAAAAATGCAATATGTTATCCAAAAACTAACTAAAAAAGTAGAAAAGGGATGAAGTATGGCTCAAGTGGTAGAGCACCTGCCTTACCTGTGCAAGGCCCTGAGTTCAAACCCAGTACCACCACAAAAATGGAGAGGGCCTTCTTTGGAGCTGAGCGAGCTGGCTCATGTCTGTAATCCCAGCTATTCAGGAGGAATATTGGGAGAATCAAGGTCTGAGGCCAGCCCAGGCCAAAAAAAGTTAGCAAGATCTGTGCTTGAGGATCAAAATCTGGGGTTGGCCCCAGGTGAAAACTAACTGAAGTAAGTCTCTGAAAAGGAACTAAAACAAAAAGGGCTGGCGGTGTGGCTCCAGTGGTAGAGTAAGCATGAGGCCAGGTTCAAACCCCAGTGCTGCCAAAACAATTTGCTTTTGACTACCTTATAGTTTCTGGTAAGGATAAATGTCCTCGGGTCTCTAATATGTCTTCTGAACTTTTTATAGGAGGCCAGTTGTAAGAACTCTCTGCCCATCCATTTAACAAAAGGCCTAGAGAGCGAGGTGCCAAAGCCACCTGCGAAACCCAAGGTGAGTTCCTTCTGCTCTCCAGGCACCCCCCCCTCCCGCCGGGATTCTTGCACATCCTCTGTCTCCACCCTCTAATGCTTGTAGTGTTTGGGAGCTTGTTTCTTTTTTTTCAGGGGATGGGGGGAAGGTAGCTATGGTATAAGAACATTTTTTATTTAATATATTTAATCAGTTTATATTCATCCAGAAGTTTTCAGGATGATTATTATTTAACAAACATACATCTTCAGTAGATGTTTTTACTTTGCTCAGTCATTCCCAGCCTCCAACACAGGAAACAGACTAGCATAGACTCCTTTTCCTGGGTACTTCTGAGCAGGATGGAAATTATTTGAGCTGTAGTTTCCCTCCTCAGAGAAAAGTAAAATGTCTAAATATAATTTTTCCTTTTTTCAAAGAACAAATAAACTTATTGATTTTCCATAATTATAAAAGTAACACATGACTAATAGGAAGTATTGAAATTAATTTTAACAAGAAAAAATAAGAGCTGTCACATATGGTAGGATAAAGAATCCAATCTGCAAAATTTTGTTTGTTTTTTTTTAAATCCAAAATGCACATAATTGCTTGCTTGTAAAAAGAAAAAAAAAAATCCTTTAACCCCAAATGTCATGGGAACTTCACCATTTTTGTCCACCCCGAAAAGTGATTCTACTAATTTATATTTTTCTAATCTTTATTCTTCCTTTTTGACTGGACTCTCCTCCTACTGGGTCCTTGTGGCATCCTCTCTGGCCACTCTGACATTTACACAGCTCCTTTTTTTCACAGTTCTAAGACAAACTGTTCTCCAAACTTTCTTGACTTTACGATAGGCAAAATTTAAGGAGTTCTCTTGATTTTAATCTCAAGTTGCCATGAAAGTAATTGTGGCTTTATTTTCAAAGGTGAATCAAGTGAAATGTTAACTATTACTTAATGTTTTGTTTAGGGTAAGCATGCATGGTTTATTTTAAAAAGAAACAAAAATAGTGTTCCTTATAAATCTTAATCCACTTTGATTCTTTTCTGGAAAATTATTTTAACTCTCTATTAGGCTTTCCTTTCCAGATTCAAACTAACTTTTGTGTGTTTTTCACTGAAATATCTGTGCAAACTTGAATATAATTAATTCACATGTATAATAAATACAAAATATTGTTAATTATTCAAGTAGTAAGAATTCAGTGTCAAAAATATACTCAGCAAATAAATACATTAAAAAAAGAATGTAAGGCTTGAGGAACATATTTAGGTAACATTTGTTTTTTTCCCTTTTTATTTTATATTGAATTAGCACACATTAACAATGCAAGGGGATTTCATTGAGATAATTCTCAATTGTCAGTATAGTGTACCTTGGACAAGTTCACCCCCTCCATTATATTTCTATTTCTTCCCTTCCTCCTCCCCCAAAACATTTGCTTATTAACTCCATTTATGTGGTGTAATAACTGTGAGATGATGAGAGAGCCTAGATGAATCACTTCCAGAGGAAAGATACATCTGTTTTGTGTTGTTTTTGCAGTACTGGGGTTTGAACTCAGGGCCTCATGCTTGCTAGGCAGGCACTCTACCACTTGAGCCACTGCACCAGCCCAAGAAAGATGCTCTTGGACCTGTTCTTAAAACTATTTGAAGAGATCCTGTCATTCTCATGCACCCCATTTACAATATTTGAGGCATATACAGAATCAGTAATTAATGTGCACTTACTGTCTTTTCGTTGTATGGTTTGTGACTCACCTAATTCAATACAGCAAGTGCTTCACTGGTTGAGCCTTGGTTGTGACTAGCTTCTTCATGGTCTTACATGATCACGTTTCAGTGTACACAACTAACCTTTGCTTAGTTTAAGGGTGATTATGTTTGTAGTTTCAAATCCCAGAAATGAGGCAGAGCCTGTGAGCTGTAAGGGATTGTTAAGGCACTAACTCGTCACCAAGACTTTCTTCTCATTCATCTTTGACAAGAAAAGCTGAGAACACCTCCAAGTATGTGTGGTGTCTTCTCTCTGGAGTGCTTCGTGAGATATGAGAACGATGTGCATCCTGGGTAATAATATTGCTCTATTTGGCGTCCATTGCTGTCTTTCCCAGACATCTCTAGTCACAGCTCTGCTTGCCTTGGACAGCTAAGTATTTCTGATCTCTGCATGGGTTACAGATATGAAATGCTAATCCAGAAATGGCCTATGTCCATCAGCTCGAGAGGTGTCTCTCTAGTCTGAGCCATCTGTCCCCATGTGTGTGCCCTCTGCCAGCTGTTGTCTTTGCTCTTGGGCAATGGGAAGGATTGTATTTCTCTTCGTTAGGTAGGAAAGCCACTTCTTGACTTGTGTCCAAAATGAAAAACAAAATACCTCCAGTACACGGTGCCAGGACACTTCCTTCATGGATAGTGATCCCCATATAACTGTTTCATGCCCAATCTATGTTGACAAAAATGCAAATAAAAAATTGGGATAGTGACACAGAAGGGAACATCAAATAGATTTTAAAAAATTATAAAATGTAGAAAGACCCAACTCAGGTAACCTCGTTCAATCATGCTTGTAAAAGGAGACAAAGTCTTTTCCTACCAAACACAGGCTCTCTAGCTTTAAATAACTCTCACATCCAATATTCAGTATTAACCCTGAAGAGGGCCCAGTGAAGTGAAAGAAGAAAATGATCTTCCGTCTCTCTTCTGAGGGGTATGCGCTGAACTTACTGGTGCAGTTGCTATGTTTTGACCTCAGTAAAAAACCTCAAGGTCATGGTGGCACACACCAGCAATCCTAGCAGCAAAGAAAGTGGAGATGGAAGGATCAAGATTCAAGGCCAGCCGAGGGAAAAAGTTAACAAGACCCTATTCCCCAAAACCAAGATAGGTGTGGTGGCATACATCTGTAATCTCAGCTACATGGCAGGCAAGTAAGAGGATGTTGCTCTGAGGCCAAGGAAAAGCATGGGACCCCATCTGAAAAATGAACTAAAGCAAAAGGGCTAGGGGTGTGACTTAAGTGAGTACCTGCCTTGCAAGTGCAAAGGTCCTGAATTCAGAACCTTGTACAGCTAAAAAATAAACGCTCAAGTCAGATCATTGTATCAGATTCACTGAGTGCTAGGATAAGAATAAATAATAAAAGCTGATATTTCCTTCCTGACTTCTATCATAGTGGAGAAAAAATACTGATAAAAATTCAAATTATTCACATGTAATAGTTTTGTTTTGGAATGCTCATGCTTTTATATTTATAGCTGCTTCCTTTTGTAAACAGAGTTGTAGCAGTTATAAAATGTGGGGTAAAGATAATAAAATAAAGAAAATAGTTTATAGGAAAATAGGAGTAGGAGCAATTACTCAATTATATTTTGTAAAAGCTGATGTGTTCAGGATCCATTGCTCATTTAAGGCAATTATATTCCATGATGATTAGCTGTCACAATTGTATTTTCTGAAATTTTTAAAAAATACCTATCCTTATTACCAAAGTAAACCAGAAATTTGAACTAATATAAGGTTATGAGAAAATTTAGTGGCAATATAACTTAATTTTCAGTATACAAATTAATAGAATAACTTAGCACTGAATTTTGCAAAGTTTCCAAGTTATTTAAAAATCTTTGTTGATACATATGCATCTATTATGCTGTTTTTATTGATGTTACATTACAGTTAACATTCTACTTTTTCTAGTTAATATTATTTCCACTTTGGGTTTCATGCATTAACCTAGTTTGTATTTTTTTTTTCAGTACTAGAGTTTGAACTCAGGGCCTACACCTTGCACCGCTCCTCAAAGCCCTTTTTGTGATTTTTTTTTTTTGACATAGTGTCTCATAAACTATTTGCCCAGGCTGCTGGCTTCAAATTGCGATCCTCCTGATCTCTGCCTCCTGAGTAGCTAGGATTACAGGCATGAGCCACTGGTGCCTGGCGGCATCTTTATTCTTTTATCAAAAGTAATAGTAGTAGTGTAGAAATAACAGAGGTGAAGTGCTAGGCACTTAGTAACTTAATGTGCATTTAGTTACAGTGTGTATTATTCACCAATAATCATAGTATTTCATGTGTTATTATATCATAGTTAGTCATTTTGAATATTTGGAACTGGTAATACAAAATCACTACAAGTGATAAAGAATAACTTTTGAAAGTGAAATAATTTTTTTCTTAGATTTTATTACCTGTAGCAGAATTAAAGGGTACAATAATTTTCCAACTAATGTACCCTAACCTACCATCTCTCCTACCACCGAAACATAATTTTGATACTAATGACTATCATTTTCACTCATGTTTCAGTCTAGCTGCTATCTATAGATCCATGTGAAATACATATTCGAGTTTTGCATGGCACCTTGGGTAACTTCCATGTCCCCCAGCCCCTTCCTACTGTCCAGTGACTAGACAGCGGAGCCTGGATACTTTTGTGACTTTGGAGCAGACACCCCTGTCACCTTGCGTTAGATCTGTGTTGTAACTGAGAAATAAGCCTCCATTTTGTTAAATGACCGATTTCTGGGTTAATTTCATCATAATGGAACTTTATCATCATGTAGTCTGGCCTGATTTAATAGTACAGGTGGGCAGCTTTCTGTGTGTTTATGTTTTCCTGTTTATTAACCTTTGGTCATGTTTGTAACCTGTATACTGCTTTTTCCTACTGTTGACAATTTCACTGTTAAGTTGTTAGCTGTTGTCTTATTAATTTTGTAGGAGTTTGATTTTTAGCTATTATCAGTTATGAGTGTTCCAAATACCTTCTTCCCTTTTTTTCTTTTCTTTTCATAGTGAATATGATCTCTTTTATATATGAAATTTCTTATTTTAATGTAGTCAGATTTATCAGTCTTTAGTTTTTTTGCTTTTCTACATTTAAAAAAATTTTCTTTGTGATACTGGGGATCAAACCCAGGGCCTCCTGTAAACACTGAGCTACATCCCCAGCCATGTTTTTCTACATCTTGTTCAAGAAATCCTTATCTACCTGCAGTCATTGAAGTCTTTTATTGTTTTCGAGCATTTTAAGT